ATTCTGACAATAGGGCTAATCTTTTTTGTTTGCAGCAATACGTGACAGAACGATTCCCTTCTCAATTAACCTAGTTTGTACCGAATTGTACCGAATGGTGACGATTGGGTGACGATTGGGTGACGAGTACATCCCGATTTACCTCGGCACAACGCGTAAAGTTCTCGGGAAAGTCCGGCATAACCCATACTAACTCATCCGTATTTTGAACATGCTTGAAGTCCTCGTGAGTCAGTAAAGCTAATTACTAGGTATGTCTCAGGAGTCAGGAAACCTTTTCTTTCCCTACGAGTAATACTGAAGTAGTTCGTGATAAACAAAATTCGGCTCCCGATTCTGCACTAACTCGGCACTAGTGTCAAGAGCTTAAAAAGTGTCATTATGTATACAATATTAAAACCATTAGCTATTAAACTCTTATGGGGTGATTTATTTCATTCAATGACTGTTTTTGCACCAAAATAGCTAGAGGGCACGAAAATATTCTCCCTTTAAGAGAGACAAAACTGAAAATGTTTTTATGTCAATCTTTATAATCACCATCTATAAAACCTTAGTTTAATAGTCGATTAGTCTTCATAAACCTCTAAAATTTAATTCGGCTTTTGTAAGCATATTTACATAACCTGAAAAGGAAATATGACATAAACAAACTAGCCCTCCCAATTTTTCCCCTTTTTTCTTCAAAGGATATCGACTAAAGCAGAAATGATCAATCTGATAAGACACGGTTAACTAAAGAAAATCTTTTGGAAAAGGAGGATATTCTATAAACCTTCTCATGCATCACTGAAGTATGTACGGGGAGTTAACTCCTACTGGAGCATTGCAGTGAACGTCATAATAACTTAACTGTTAAAACAATTATTTCAACAACTATTCAAAACAACATTCTGGACTATAATTAAAAAAATGTTGGCAATGCAATTGAAATGTTCGTCTAAAAAGGTAGTTTATTGTTGAAAATTAAATGTTTCATCTTATACTTAGTCCAAATGATCCATTAGATAGTGGGGTGATTGTGAAAATGTATTTATACAAATATTCATTTGATTACTTTAATGTGATGCTTTTATAAATATAAAATATATTCAAAATCACAAAACTGTAAATTCACTGTGTTTACGGTTTAAAAGTGAATGATAAGAAAAGGGTCATAACACTACTATCGAAATGTCCACATCAAAGAATCTCCCTTTAAGAAAAACAAAATCACGTCTCGTCACATTATGGAAAAAATACCTGAATATTACAAAGTCGATGAATAAAAAGTTGTTTGCGTTTTCAAGGCGCTGATCATCGTGGTATAATCCTTCATGCGTAGCTACCTCTTTGCCAAACCGCAAAAAAAGACAATAAAACCTGAAAATACTATCAAAATCCAAAACCGTCGCCGCTATTGTTCAATTTCTATAACTCGGTGATAATGCATCGCCATAGAAAAGGACGGAAGAATAATAATAATAAAAATCATCTCCGTACAGGTACCACGGACCAAAGACCGATGATTGATTTGAAAAGGGGGTACCTTGTTACCCCGAATCATCGGTATTTGGGATTTTTTTCTATGCGCTATTCTTCTTATTGTGGTGAATGGGGAAGCTATGCACCATTTCTCAAAAAGTTTGATAAAAATTATGAGCTGTTCCCATCATAGCAAGATTGCATCTTATAATGCCTTCCATTTTGTGCTCTCATAACTAGACAATCTATCACTAATCATTCTCATCAATAAGATATGATAGCTTTTGCCTGTCATTTCTATCTTGATAGGGAGATCCATCTTTAATACTGGAAAAACATAAAATTCTCGTATGTTCAAATGGGGTATAGGTCGATGATATTGGGAGCGAGTTGAACTTAATAAGCGTTCTCTCTAGTTTTGTACCGAACGAAATAGCTACTGGGTAAAAAGTCTCGAATGAACTCTCGAATGAAATAACCGAGAGGCAAAGTCTACAGAACTGGCATTAACGAATAGCTATTTTTCTTTTATCATTCTAAAAGGAAGTAGTAGGTTACAATGCACGTTATGTGGGATTACAAACGATGATAATGAAAATGATCAATTAGAGAATTACAATTTAGTATTCCGCGTTTGAACAAGGAACCTATATGAGGAAATCGCTAACAGAAAAAGAGGAAGCCGTTCTCAAAATAGTTCATGAATTCTAAAACAATCTCAAGGTTGACCATATTATTCTTAAACAACAAAAATGGTGCTTTACTGTCTAAAGAATTTTCGGAATTCAGTGTGGGATGTCGCTGAATAGGCTACTCTGTTTCCTTTACTTGATACATTGAGAATAAAACGATTTTCCTTTACGCATCTTTAAAGCTTTTAAAGAGGAAATCTACCTCAACGCCTTTCCACCTTGGTTTATTCTCTTTTTTAAATCACACAAAAGAAGTAGTTTGGTAACGGTAAACCGTGACTTATCTCATTAGGATATTAGTTTTAACTTTAACGGTTTCCAAATAACAATGAAAATCACTTCCTTCTTGGAGAATACTACGGTATAGTTTGACCGATTTAGTTCATTAAGCAAATACATAACTAAAATTACGTTGATTTCACTGGCTGTTGTTTATAAAGTATTGAAAATTGGAAACATTACAACACTATATTACGTAATCTGACAAGATTTCTATGGGATATACAATAAATTTTCCGAAGTTGATTTGATCTCTCGTGAAACCTATGCGATCACGACGTACATAAAAATAATATCACATCTTCCTAAGATAAACAAAAATCATGAAAACCTTCCTAAAACATTTTGTTCAGAAAATCTAACGGCATAATGTTCTTGGTCTTGAAGATAGCAATATGTTTATCGCAATTCATTCACATGGGGACTGGAGAGGTTTTATCCTCGTATTATTGTAGTCACAATTTGTATGTGAGGGAAAATATTACACCTTTACAAATTCCATTATCGCCCCTCCCCCGATTCAAAGTCTTTCGTCCTGTGTGTATGATCACATTTTTAAAATTATGTCTTAAATTATCATCTAAAACTGATCCATCAATAAACTATCACTATGGGTGTTGCCTAAGGGAGTCCAATGGCACCAACTTTAAAAGGTGTATACACTCTTGTTCAAAAAGACTTGGGCTGAAATAATTGCGGAACAACTGAGAGAATTGTGTGCAGACGGCTCTTCTGCATACTGTGCCCGGTAGATAAATGAAAGGCTCAAAGGAGGAATCGAAATAGGATTAATATATTATCAGCGATAACTTGAATGGAATTGAGTAAATAGTGCCTTGAATAAAGCTATGTCAAGGCCAGACAGATTGGAGCGGCATGCTGAACTGTGCATTCGGCCATCCGTGTCAGGCGTCTCATGCTTGAACTATCTTACTGGCGATGGAAAAAAATAATTCTATGATGTGCAGCCTTTAAAAATCAAATGGAATTCTACAGGTATGGGTTTGTTCAATTGGTTGTTTAGAATCAGGCATGCTGAATGAAGTATCACTTTGCCTGGTATCTGACATTATACGAGTCTGACCTATGAGAAGTACTCGTGGTGTGAGCCCTTTGTGAAACCTTAAGGTGGCTCGCTTTTAGTTCGTTTGTTTGTTTGTTTTCTTTGATGTGGTTATAAGTCACAGAAGTACACCGTGCGATTGTAGTATAAAATTTTCATTTGACAACTTGTTTGTTTTTATAATAAATCTGATATGTACCCTATCTTAACTTACATAATCTAGGAAAGAGTAAAAAACGAATATCATGTCACCAAAGCCATTTTCTTTGCATTAAGTTTACCAGTTAGGGCCATCTCGAAGCAGTCTTCGATGTTTCTCCTCTATGAACCCAAACCGATTATGTCTCCTCTCCCCTTCCTCTTCAAAATCCATATTTTTCTAAGGTGTTTGAGGAATTCCTCAAATTTGGACTTTGGTCTCAGGAAATATGACTTTGTTTGAGTAAGAAAGGAAGCCTTTGGAAGGGATTGTTGTTTCGATCCCTCGAGGACCGTGGTGAGAAAAAAGGGAGATTTCGTGTGAATACAAGAATGGGGTAGTAAATAAAGTATCGGGGAGATCTCCTTAGATCAGTATAAGATAAGGAACTAATAATGGAGTCGGCTTGCAAGTCGATTCAGGAAGAAACGGGGTTACCCTGTTTGAATCGTTCGGAACTATGCTATGTAGAATGCATTCATCGTCTCAATAAAAACCTTATGACATGGAGTTCGTGGTAAATCTTCCAAGAACGGGAAGAGGGTGACTAACCATGCAGGATTTGGGATTCCATATATATTCAAGCGTCTGTAAGCATTGCATTGTGTGCCGCTGCACTTAGAGACTACCATGTCAGCAGAAATTTAAAGTTTTTTAAATCTTAGAAATGTCACCAAATCACAGAGGTCACGTGTACTTTTTGCGTATTGTCGATTAACATGATCATTAACAAGCTTATTTCTCCCACATTCTGTTCCAGGTCTGAAACATCATTATGCATGTATTACATATACCACGGCTACATTCTCTTATCCTTCATCTATATTATCTATATTATCTTTATACCTGTATTTTGTTCTCTCCTTTTTATTATTACCCCTTCCACCCTCTCTCTATCACAAACATACATACACACACGCCCATACGCACACAATCAATCCTCCTATACATTTCATGGAAACACAAATAACCATCGAATTACAACTCTATACTGTAGGTCACCTTGTCTTCTCTCTGTCTTTCAATCACTAGAAACATAAAGGAACATCGAATTACATAATAGTACTCAACAGTCTCAACTGATACAGTTCGCCATGTCTTTTCTATCTCTCTCTCTCTCTCCTGTTCTTTTTTTCATGAGAAACGCACATTAACATCGAACAGCATCCCTGTAAGCATTCAAAGGATACAATGTCCTTTACTCCTCACATCTCTCTCCCCTCAACCTCTTCTCTTTCTCGTCTCTCTTTTTGTATTTCTCTAAAAACATCACATAGTAGTTTTGTATGCATTCAAAGGATACAGGTCGCCATGTCCTTGACGTCTGTGATGTGCGGTGCGTTGGGGTACTTCCGTCTGAACTCCTTCCGGAGGTCGAAGAAGTTGTAGAAGTACTCTGGGATTGGGATCCCCTTGTTGGTGGTCTGTGGGTGGATGCATTGTCGCACGTGGAGCTGGCCATCGGTCAGAAGGCAGAAGGTCTTCCCGTCCTCGCCCACCAGTTCGGTCGTCAGATAGTTGTCAAGCTGCGAAAATGATGAAAAGATGTAAAGTAAATTAATTATGGAATAGTAAAGTAAATTAAGTATGGCATAGTAAAATAAATTAGGTATGGCATAGTAAAGTTAATTAAGTATGGCATAGTTAAGTGAGTCCATGCCACTCGAAAGTGGCACTATATGGGGTTGAATGAGAGCGAGGTTGCTCTCATAGTATGTCGAACTGCGTAAAATGATAACAAGGTGTAAAGTAAATTAAGTGTGGTATAGTAAGTTTGTATATTCGAATGTATAGCTTTCTGTGGTTGAGAGATAGAGAAAAGGAGATTTAGGGGTGTTATGTGTCGTCATCACGTTTTCCCTTGACAAAGGGTGTGATATATTGAATATTGAAGCAAAAATGCAGTTCTCTTCATTGCCCTTTGAACCAAAAGAAGGATTTGGGTTTTAAGAGGGTAACGTATATTCTGTTCCTTATACCATGGACCTACTACAGGTTCCTGCTTATACTAAGAAGCTTCCATAGGGTGTATAAAAACCCTTGACCGGAACAGTCACTGTTTTAGGTAGAACAGGTAAGAAGGGGAGAAAAGTAGAGAGGGAAAAAGAGAGAGAGAGAGACGAGGAACTGTCCTCGTTCCTCAGAAAGAGATTTGCATCATTTATTTTGTGTGCCACGTTTGATTCAGCGATCAGAATTAATGAATAGTCTGAAGCCTTTGTAATGAGCATGCATTCAAGGAAGTGGCTTCTTTAATACACGGTAAATCTTGTCGGGGTCGCGACCCTTTAGGCTCGTTTAGTGCACAAAAGACATTTACGTTAATACAACCCATCATTTCATATATTCAATAACAATTGTATTCATACACAGACCACAAGGAGAACTGTTATTAAGTGAAATAAATAGAAAAACTGGATTAACATAACAATTCCCTTTATGAGATTAGTTTTAACAGTTTCATGGATCACAAATTAAATACAAAGTGTACCCTTTAAGACACTAATGTAAACGTGTTAGCTTGATGTACGTTAGTGCAACGGTGACGATAAGTAATTTGTTTCTTTTAGGGTTCCTAATTGCTATCAATGCATTGGCATGTATAATATATTTTTATTGGTTATGTTGTATCGTATTGATAAATAATTATTACATTACCATAAAAAGAGCCGTTATCTTTGCAGAACCAATTACGATAAAATGTTTAAATGCCTTATGAGTGATATCTATCATATATATTACATTTTAGACATGTACTTTAGAAAGAAAATTAACGCAGCATCCCGCTAAGCTACATGGTATCATTTTTTAACATCATATTTCTCGATTATACTTGTACGAAGAACCATTAAACGTAACACGTGGAGTTTGGTTTAAACCAACAGCTGCGCACACTCTCAACGTTTATTCTTAACGCAAGTGTAGAATATCATATTCATTTTCATATATAATAGGTATATTGCATGTGTAATAATGCGAATCTGATACATGCTCTATTTAAAAGAATACAACCATATGCATATTATTGTAGCAATAGCGAGGTAAAAAGATCTGAATTATATCGTTACCACATTGTATGCTTATGGCAAAATATTGTGCTGGAAATCGACATAGTATTCTAATGTTGATGTTAACAATTTCATTACAAGGATAATTAGTGCATAAGACACATTCAATCGACTTCGTAGTAATCACTGGCACTGAAAATATGGCATGAAGATGTTCATTATCAAACATTGGAGTACAACTCAGTTTCAAGATGGCGTATAGTTTTATTCTTCTTAATATGATGTTTGATAGTGTGTACTTTCTCGTCCAGCATCACACTTTCCCTTTAAAATAGAACAAAACATTATGTAATGCAGTGGTTAGCATGATGAGTAACGTCTTCGTTAAGAGGATAGCTTTTATTCGAATGCCATTGTATCCTTTGGTTTGGTTGCCTGTGTATAGGTAGGCTATGTGCTGTTCAATCCTAATCCCTGTGACAGCGTGAGCAGGGGTAATTCCTCGATCTTACACGCCACCCTCACGCACATTGTGTCACAATGCCAGACAAGTTTGACGAATGGTCGAAGTGACGAGTGAATTTCATGATAAGTCACGCAGCATACTCAGTATAATGAGAAATCATGGGCCACTTAACATGCCTAGAAGTAAATCAAACTCCCGTTTAGGGGGCAACTGGATGAGGAGGAGGAGGAGGGGAGGGGGGCAACTGGAAGAGGGGTCAAAATTGGGATACACCCATCTCAATGCTGGCATTAAAAATATCGCATACGCATGGTATAAACAGAGAATTGTTTTATAAGTAGATATAATTGGTCTATGGTTAAATACGGGTTTATTGCATAATGGTACTAACTTCTCAGTTAACATGTACAAATCCTTAAAATTTATATTTTGTGCAAAAACCTTTTGAAAAAGACCATTATAATCCTAATTCAATTCACCAAAAACACGGCAGTGGCGGTGAAGAGACTATACTAGCTGTGTATATAAATTATAATATATTTCTCACACGAGGACTTTCTATGACCGTATGCCAAGGTTTAAATATGCAGCGAGAAGTACCATCATATTTTTAAAAACATTATTGGTAAGGATGGTATATCTGTGTGCTGTTTCTTGCATATTGCAACGAATTCAACACAGCTGTAAAAATGCGGGTAGGATATGCTACATTTAATGGTGTTTGCACATATCAATTCCACATAGATGGATGATAGGGCTGTACCACAAGATATTCTATATTCATATATTATCATCCATACCTAGCATCTGGTTTAGTTATATATTTTAGCACGTAGACTCTCGTTATAGTGTACAAATATTTAATGGCAGATACTAAAAAGTCAGGTTATTACTAAAGCAAACTAGAGGCAAGTTTCCCCTCAAAACCCATCAAGATTTGTTATAAAACCTCCGATGCAGCTTATAGAAATATCAATTTCCACTGTGTTGATTTTATACTCTTATTATTTACCTTTTAGTCCACAAAAACGGTGTTTGATGAAGCTGTTCGAGCTTTTTTAATCAAATCAGCTCAACTAATCTGCTTCGAAGTTTTTTGTTGCGTACCAGTATTTTGATATATTTCTATATCTCATGTCATGTAAAGAGAACTGAATGATTACATACATTCATGGTTAGGATAGTGCCAGGTATTCAAAGGTTGATTACAAAAACTATTTTTCTTTATTTCACTTATCAAATCACCAATTAACATGACGATTAAACATTAATAATCCGACCTGCACCTGTCTTTTGGTAATCCTACATTATTATTGATATGAGTAGTTTCAGTTTTGGTCCCATTATGAGTCGCCTTCTCTCACTGATATACGATGATGATTTTTTTGGGGTATAATTGTTATATTCCTTATATTCGCTGCTTGAAATAAAAACACCTCTCGAAACCATATATTCAAGAGAAAGCAGATGACTCATAAATGATTCTTTTTTCATAGTATTTTGTAATGTGGCTTAAGGATTTGTTTCACTGTTATCGAAAGAACCATTTGGCGGCTAGAACAGTCGAAACAAACAATATTTCGTATCGTGTCGTGCAGTTATGCGAAATCATATCCATGAAATTGATTTAAGCCTCCAACAATGGTGTTTTCATCTACTAAATCGACAAAGTCTGAAGAATAACGTGTCTGACCTATATCAGTTTTAAAGCATAAAGCTTGGATTATGGTTCAAATTCAAGATTTAACACCAGTTATGAATGATGAAACTGATATCATAATGATGAATATTATTTGTTTTTTAAATCAACTGTTAGCACTACGAGATTAATTTCAATATAACGTGTCAAAATTAATTATGATTTTAGCGCGAGTAGGTCTCTTAAGGAACGATTCGCCTTGGAGTAATGATAATAACCATTTTAGATCATAAGTAATGAGAATATAGAGGATGCAGTACTGCTAGTTCGAAGGAAGAATATTATTTTAGCATTTCAAATCATAACATATTGAATCGATTTGTCCGTTTTATATTTTGGCGCACTCTCTCCCACTCTCTCTCACTCTGCCTCCTCCACCATCTCAATCCCCCACTCTCACACACACACAAACACACACACATGCATGGCAGAAATATACATCTTTTCCCCTTCTGCAACCAAGGAATTTCCTCCTTGCTGCAACATTATTCCAGGAGCGTATTTAATTAGTCGTCATCCTTGCAACGACTTTCACTGTCATTACTTTCTCGCCATAGAATCCCCCCTCGCCATTCTTCATCTTCTTTCTTCTCTTCCCTTTCAAACTCCCATCATCTTTTGTCTACCTATTTTCTTTTTTTTTTATTGGAAGAGGAGGAAACTGGCTCGCTATGATACCCCTAGCAGGAATTGGATTGTTTAGCAACATACAATGAGTAACGGCTGTTGCATGATGGAGGAAAAAGGATTACAAAATCAAGAAAGTGTTTTGTTTTGTGACATTTTAAGGAGGAAACGAAATGTGTAGTAATGCTTTACTGCTATACATCACCGTATTGATGCACATGTAATTGCACTAAAAGCATTTTACCATCATGCATAAGTACCAATTGCTGTTTTAAAACCTATCAATTTTCGTGTCTCAAAATAAGAGTTGTGTTTTAACCTTTATAAATATCCACAGTGTGTATTGGTGTTGCTATTGCTACTATTTTATTTCTTAAGAGCCATTGGAATTATTCGTAATAGCTTTTTCAAAATTTACTTTAAAATTCAACAGTCACCAAATGCCTTAATTAAATAAGGCGAATCAGAATGTAGTTGGATTTCGAAATATCGTTGTTTCGATAATCTGTTCGAATTCTTTTTTATAATAACTCTTTGAAGTCCAAATTATTATTTAGAGGAAAATACCATAGAAAACGAATGATATTAACAATCAAGAGGCAAGTGCCATGAAAGAGAGGGGTAAATTTGGGTCCCATTGGACAGAAACTAGAAAAGACCGGGCAAGTCCAATATACTACGCTTTGGAGATTCCCAGATAGTTTCTGTATCGGTCCACAGTAGATGGGTTTCCATTCAGGACGTCTGCCTGTGTTTGTTTTATCCTATCTCTTATTCAACACTCGAAATCCAAAGAAAGGGGAAAAACGAGAGAAACACGTGTACGCCGGAGCCTTATCAAAATAATATCACATCTAAATGATAATAGCTGCGAGGTCTAAACGTATGGCCAGAAAGGCTCACAGAACAATATTGCGGAGGGGGAAAAAAGAAAGAAAGAAATGTAAACAATACCCTGATATGACGCAGACGGTCTGCAATTGAATCATTATGAACGGCAGGCAAAATATCACGTCAAATATTATGAGATATTTTGTGATGTATTAGTTTCTGTATGCATACGCCAGCGCTTTGTATTACGAGATAGGGATGTGTAATCATGAGGTTATTAATAGCTGTTAATAGAAACACGACTGCTGATAATTTCATTAAAAAATAGACACAGTCCGATACCCGCTTAATTGACATTTTTTCTTCTTCTAAAACTATCATGGTACATTGCCTAATTTCAATACACCACTCGATGTTTTTTTAAAAACAGGATTGCCCCTCGCTATCTTTTTGTATCACTTCCCCATTTGTTTTAGGTCTGGGGGTAATGGGTACTATCAGATTTGGGGATAAAATAAAAGATATGCATATATTACTAAAGATATGCCTCGTTCTTCGTTTAATGGCACAACTGACAGTGGAAATTTATATATGGGCTACCGCCGAAACATAATGTTCGGTACAGAAGCTATTTTCCTTTCCAGTATATGCATGGTTTCCTATTATATTCCTTTATCATGGATATGATTGTCGTAAAGTGCTTTGATACCTAATAGAACTTCTATTTCCCGTCTCTCATCATAAGTTGTCATACTATTTCTTAAACGGTGATACAGTTAACCTGTGATCTTCTTCTTTTTCTATTGGGGGGTCGGGGGACACATAGGCCTTAAATGGTAGACTTATTCTATGTCCTACCGGTCTTCCCAAAGCTGTGATTCACTCTCCCTCTCCACCGCATGCTGTCACTTGCCGTATGTACACTAAAAAACGCGATTGTATAAATAGTCGTTAGCAAATTTATATTGACTTTCCTCTTCAGACAACAAAGCGCTACTAGTGGGACTAAGGATACAGAGAAACAGGAGTAGCGAACCGAGTGGACTCGAATAGATTTCATGAGAATTAACAAGATCCGACCGCCTGTGGACAAATAGGATCGGTCCCAAAGAGGGGAAAGATTATGTTTAGATTTGTAGGGTTGATACAGCCTCTCGAGTAATGGTTACAAGTTATAGTAGGCCTATAAGTGGAGACCATGTTTTGGTTCGGGTGCGTCAGTCATGCATACTATTTAGTTTTCTTAATTGGTTCAGCTAAGTTCTTGACTAGTTTAAAGCATATATCGTGTATAGGTCATACATTTTATTTCTAAGTAAGTTTAGATATATGTATCAACTTGAAATATAGACACAGTCAATCCCATTGGTGAATTGTTTTTATTAATTAATATTCAGCAAGGCCATGAAAAGAGGTATATGATTTTGCTAGACCAGTGATACATGTATACTCGTTTCGGTATGCCAATCTCTCGCTTACTGTCTTTTCCATAAAACTTATCAACAATACTTTAGTGTATACATAGGTCTAGATATTGTTGCTATTGTTGCTGTTTCTGCTGTTTTGCTGTTAATACTGGTGCTAAGTCTAGTGTGACTAGAATATATTATAACATTGTGCCTACTATTACAAGACAATTACCTCTTACAGTGAAGAAGAAAGATTTAATGATTCAATCGGCAAACTACTTGCGGTTCTTTGTAAAGTACATAAGCACATTTGTCGCAACCGCATAATTCAACTATACCTATAGACCTGTACAACGTCACTACAAATTCCAAGAACTAATAGTAATACTAGCATTTCAAAATGCATTTTTGCGATAAAAGTTAGCTCCCTGCTAAAATTATTGTTCTACTGATAAACTTTATTCATTCTTGAGTATTAAGTAATTTCAATTTGCGAAAGACCAATAGATTAAAATACCATAATATTTTTCATTGTAAATGAATATTGAATCACACCTTAATATCGTGACGTCATTTTTAGTAAAAAAAAAAAAAAGTAATGGTGGGTAGAGTAACAGCTGTTGCCTATTGCTGCCGTGAAAATTACAAATCACACACTAGTATGTATACGGACCTTATTGTAGTAAGGCCTTGGAGTTACACACTATTGTGTGATTTCTTTCTCCTACATTGCTACATGCAAACTGATTATTTCCATAGTCTATTCTAGGCGCACGTTAAGTCTTTATCTTAATTTGGTGAACATAATAATCTCGGATAACGATGTTTACCGCTATTTACAGTTTGTATTAGAATGCAGTCCATGTAGATAATAACAGCACCCCGTGTTTTTAAATGGTGTGCACTGTGGATATGTTAGAATCTACACGTGTTTGAGCTATACGATGGAGTGACCTACAGTGATATCAGAACATAGAAATGGCGCCGGGATATCTGCCTTTATATCATATATTCCTTTACATTATGTATATCCTTTTACATTTTCGTATATTCCACTAAATGTTCATATATTATATGGCACATACGTTATTCACATAAAAATAACTGATGAAATGGCCAAATCTGGGTCATTGGAATGAACACCCCTATATCGTAGCTTATAACATGTACGAAACAGATATCAAGTGAATGCGTGCTGTGATTAAATACCCGAGGGGGACAATCCCACTTTGACGAGTTTAGTGTTTTTGTTCTATTTCGGACTATCCAACTCGTGTTTCAGGAGTTGTACTGAAAGTATTTCCCCTGTAAATGAAATAAGGTGTTCTTTAGGCTTATGGTAGAATATGACCAAAAGCAATAAGAGATTGGAGGTGGCAAAACTAAATCATAACGTTATATGTATTTTGTTTGATTCTGTACAGAGAGTATATCATACAGTTTGAAATGATTTACAACAAGCAAATCATCCCCGACTCTCTCAATATTTGATCCATTTAAAGATTATATCAATCATCAGGATACGGTATCTTAAAATAATCAACGCTTAATTGGTTTGCATTTCCTTAATCAAATTAAGGATGACCCGAATGAATCAAGTTTGATGACAATCAAACATGGACTGACAAAATCATTTCTTGTATCGTGGTTTATTCTTTGGAGTATAATGGGGGAAATCTATTTCATGTTTACCGTCTGCTCAGTGTCATATGGTCTATAACTCATTTAATTTATATGGAGATAGCACTGTCTCTCAGCAGACGATATGCTTCAAGATTTTTGTGTGTAATATATTTCCATTTGTTGGATGGAACACTCATCACGAAGTATTTTTTAGGGGGTCCAGAATTATCATTATCATATGGATCACTTCACATTTATAACAAACACCAAACAATACACATGGAACATCACACTTTCAATACAAGACCAAATCAATTTGCAAACTTTTTTGAAAATGCATTAATTAAGACTCACCTCTGCAAGGACACGACTGAGGTTAGCTGCTCCAGTAATTACATCAGGTCTTATGCTGAGTGTATTGCAAAGTTCATCTGACAGCTCGGAGTTTTCAGGACGAATGTAGTTCTGGTTGAATTTCACCACCTAAAAGGAGCAAATAGATATGCAAACCCTTATTTTAACTCCAATATTGTTCATATTAGGTGGATAATTATATAAGCGAGCTGGACTATTCCGACCGTTCGAAATTCTGCTGCGAATGGAGTCATTTTGGAGAAGAAAAGTCCCTGACTACTTGATACGTCTGTACTTTTGGCGATTACGAATACTCTGGAATATGTAAAACAGAGACATAGCTCTCTGGAATTGTTTTTTAAAAAAAATAATTTTAAACCAACTCTTACTGAATAGGACATTTTCAGCCGAAACAGAAGAAATTATAGCAAGTACAGTTTACGAAATTGGAATATAATGAAGATTTGTCTATCTCCTAATATAATTTAATAACAGCAGTTTTATCATTTGGTTCGTTATCCTAGAACAGAGAGACAAATTAATATCTGAAGAGGGTTTACTATCGAGAGAGACGCATACCGACACACTTTTAGAAGAGAAAGGGAGCTGGCTAGGTAAGTGTGAGTAGAAATGACGGAAATAGAGAAAAGGGGAGACACACAGATACCGATTCTATAAGAGAGTTGGAACGTAAAAAAGAGAGAAGGATCTATAGACAGACAGGGGAAATAATAAACTCGAGTTGATAGAAAGATAGTCAGTAGACAGAGGAGGGAGAAGGAAGATACTAAAGAACGAAAAGAAGAGGGTTTGATAGAAAAGCAGAGAGGGAGGAAGAGAGAGAGAGAGAGAGAGAGAGAGAGAGAGAGAAGGGGGAACAGTTGAGCGACACCCACCCTTTACGGACGGCTCCTGATCTAGACTATTTTCAAGGAAGGGTTAACAATAGAACTTGTCAGCATTGTTAAGATGCAACCGAGTCTTATCCGTCCACAAGGAGGCATTATGTCAGATGAAGTAAAGCGTGATAAATAGCAGGCAAATACCACTTCAGAACCAACGATATCTTAAAAGAACTCGCAAAGATACAGATACAGTATCTAACGTTGAAACTGATTTTGAAATAACTATCCACTCTCTCTAGAAAGTAAAGGAAAAGACTACCCGCGACGCCAAAATGGCGTTAATATCCAAAATGGAATGACAAGCACAATTAACTTCGACCCCAAAACACTATTATCTCGCACATAAATACAACCGTGATTTTAATTATGTTTGGGAATACACAAGCATTGAAGTGTAGCTGAAAGATATTGAGTGAACAGGTTAGTGATGTGGCAATACAAATGAGCAGAGTGAACGGCAGATATCCTCTACAAAATAATGTTTAGTTCTAAAGTCATAGATGAGATTTATGAATATACACATGTTTTGAAAAGGACAGAAGGATAAGAAGAGGAAGAGAATAGAATCCGAGCTGATAGAAAGGGTAGAAGGAAGATATGGAGAAACAGAAATGGAATGTTGTTCACTTAATCAAACTCAAAAAAGTGAAGCCGCCACTTATCCTTCTGAGTGATTAATAAAAATAAGAAATGATAAATTGTGGTAAGATGTGATTAATGAAAATAATGAGTGGATTATATAAATGAAATAGTATGAGAGAAGATGTGAGAGACAGAGGTAAAGGGAGAGATAGATGTGTGAAGATGCAAACAGAATTAGAGCAAGAGAAAGAGAGGAAAGAGAGGAAATAAAGATGGAGGAGAGGGAAGAAAATGTTGACCATACCTTATTGGTTTCAACGTCCACCACCACTGAAACGAGGAGGACTAGGTCTTCCTCGTCTGTGCCAAGCAAGGCTCCTCTTCGCCCCGCTGTCGTGCAGAACACAATCACCAGATAGTTAAACGCCATTTTTCCTCCAACCAACTATTTCTGATCATAAAACACCAAAACCGAAGTTCACAAGCAAAGGGAAGGAGAAGCCACAAATTCCAACCGCGTTTATTTCACTCGTTTTTAAAAAAATCAACTCGATTTTTAACCCCCCGCAATAAATACAAATAAAATCAAAATATGAGAAGAGAGTCACCACTAAGAAATCTGTCACCACCACACCAAAAATGCACCCCCAAATGATCTAGAAGTTTGTTTTAAACATAACCCAGCACCGAAGAAATGAAGAGAGCCCCACACCGTACGGCTCACTAGATCACAGACCGAACTATCTACTGCCGGTGAATACTCGGTATCTATTTACCCCCGAAGATTGAGAACGGGAGAAATAATACTGGTAGGACGAATTCTGTCAGTTATCAACGCCTCATGCGTCCGCCCAAGAGGTACGATAGGAGCCTATGGAAAGAGCGAGCAGTCCCTGTGGTGCTTATGTACGAAATGCTGTCGCCACTTTGCGATGGTAGAAGTTTGTACGATCAGCGATGCTTATTGGCCCAATCCGCCGAAGCTCCGCTATACGTGGCGTGCAGGTAGGGTGCAATAATTGTATCAGACACACTCGACGGGGCGTGGACGATTATATGCTAGTCTATTGAATGCTCTCATAATATGTCTGCTATCTGTTGCATGCGATGTGTGTGTGTCTCACCCGCATTATTCTACTCTCAATCTATCCTCCCCTCTACAAGAAAAAAACACTACAAGCCGACAATCCCCGATTTTTTCCTGTCTACTTTTTTTCCCTTTCCCCTTGTTATATCAACGTGCTTTTATCGCTTTTTCTTTTATACGGACTTCTACAGTTGATTGGTGTTATACAAAGCATTGAGGGCGAGTGTATAACCTCGGCGTTTCACTATTTCGCTTCAATCTATTGTTCTCTCCTTTCTTTTATCTTCACTCAGTTCGTATGAGGTTGTTGTGATGGAATGCTTTCAAAGTCGAAAAGAAGCCAATCCCCTAAATCCTTTAAAGGATATGCTCCGTGGTAGCTTTAAACAACGCCACCATTGTGATTTCGAAAGAGAGGAGAAAGGACCTAAATCTCTGCACGCCAACGCAAATTAACAGAACCAAAAGCCAGTGAGCCAGCCCAAATCTTATCTTTCTTTTTAATGCCATCCCATTCTTAATCTTTAATTATCCCGCTGGCCAAAGTCAGAGTCAATTAGTACCCGACATTCAAAAGGGGAATAGAAAGGGCTAAGGGATCAGTGTCTGGAACAACCCGGCACCCACCCTTTTTTTAAAACAGACTGTAAGTGAATTGTATTGATTTTAGAGGTAGATCCTGCTATCTCTGGAGATAATAACCAACACCGATTTTAAAGTGATGAAAATTTAAAAAAATCCCGAAAAAATTATGAAATGCTACCCCAAATGTGCACCACGGCACTTTATTTTGCGTGCTGCTCTGAAAGACACCTAGAATCAACCAAACATAATCATACAAAAACATGAATAAACTTTACACGATGCATGTATTTGGCTTTACTAGTTCCGCAAAGCATGTTGAGAAATGAGATATACTTATTAGTTTTATATTTTAACTTAATACCTTTAATCTATTTTCTGATATAACTAGATTCGAGATTCGATTATTCAAAGGACACAGATCAAACCAGAGTAACCGCATCCTTCAAGAACCTGATCGATATCTCCACCTCATTTTTTATTTTTGACTGAATCGATTTGATTTGAATTGATTTTATATCATTCGAAATTTTGCATTATATCAAACCTTGTTTTTTGATTGCGGGATAAGCTTTTTTTTTTTTAAATGCCACTAGATGGCAGTTGTTGTTTTGATTCAGGGAACTCTATTCAGATGTCTTTGAGTGCCGAAATCAGTGGATTAGCGCTGTCAGGGGCATAATTTATATGGGCATTTAGAAATTGTTTACGACTTTAAGTTTGTAATCATCATGCCCCCAAACACAAACTCACGCCCACACGCTCTCTCTCTACCCCTTTTCTCCGCTTTTTTTTTTTTTTATCTCCCCTTTCTCTTTTTCTCTGCCTCTCTTTTCACTCTTTACCTATTTTTTTATTCTTTTATTCCTTCTCATTCGCTATGTTTCTCTATCTTTATCAGTCTCTTTCTCCCTTTCTCAGAAACGCACACCCTCATTATTTTTCCTTTCTAAAACATGGGCCCCGTTTCATGAAACCTGTAAGCAGTTACAATTTTCATATATATCAACTCTGCGTATAACAATTATTTTCATATAGGCCTATCTTAGTCTACACAATCAAGGTAAGTATTATTTTACTCTATTTTACATTGTGTAACCTATTCATCAAGCTCTTTTCCTTCTCAAAATAATAATAGTTATGAATTGACTCATTGGTTTGGTTTATTGGGCTTAAAATCGATTTACAATAATCTGCAATTTGCCACGCTCGACCCAGGCTTAGCGAAAATGCGTCCACTGGTAGAAAGAATGTTCTCCTTATCATGCCGCATCATGGGTAAAAGCTAGGATAGCGTGCTGTGTCTCAAGAAAAGGCGCTTTATGATAAATCCAGTACACGGGTGTTTCTGTTGTCGTTGTTTTTGTTGTTACCGAGAGATGAGTACTCACTACACATAGACCTAAAACCGGATATTTTCTCATCTAAACCCTATGAAAGACTTCAAACCCCCTTCCTCCAAACACAACCTTGGTTGCCTTGAAAGAGTCTTGTTTAAAAATCAACCAATTAATCTAAGGGTATACTTCTTTTAATCTTCGGTATTCATAATGATCGTAATGTTAGTCTCTGAAGGGTTTACATAACGAAGCATGCACGTGGCTAATGTACCCGGAACACTGGGTTATGTTACGTTACTAATGGGGGTCATTTGAGCCGAGTGACATTGTTTTGGCGGACTAGTGACCCAATCAACTAAAAATCATATAAAACAAGGCTACGTCTGCTAAGAAGCGAAATAGCGTCCCTTAAAAGTTATTTCATATTACATGAGTTCATGTCCCGGCTTTATTCAGAAACAAATATTTGCCCTAACGACTATGATTATTATTGTTATTTATATTATTACTGTTACCATTATTATTATTGTTATTCTTATCATTAGTAGTAGTAGTAATTTAAGTAATAATAGTGAAAATATTGGTAATATTAGTAGTAGTAGTAGTATAGTAGTAGTAGTAGTAGTAGTGGTAGTATAAGTAGTAGTAGTAGTAGTAGTAGTAGTAGTAGTAGTAGTAATAATAATAATAATAATATTATAAGTAGAAGCAATGGTAGTATAAGTACTAGTGGTAGTATAAGTAGTAATATTAGTAATAGGAGTAGTAGTGGTAGTATTAGTAGTAGTAATAGTAGTAGTATAAGTAGTAGTAGTAGAAGCAGTGGTAGTATATGTATTAGTGGTAGTATAAGTAGTAGTACTAATAGAAGTAGTAGTAATAATAGTAGTATAAGTAGTAGTAGTAGTAGTAGTAGTAGTAGTAGTAGTAGTAGCAGGAGTAGTAGTAGTAGTAGTGGTAGTGGTAGAAGTAGTAGTAGTAGTAGTAGTAGTAGTAGTAGAAGCTGAAATAATAGCACTAGTTAGGCTTAATAAAGTTGGTAAGATGATTTAAATTCCAAATCAAATTGCAGTATCTTACCTAAAAACTGAATTTCCTGCAACTACCGCAGAAATCCTTCAAAATGCTCTATCAATTGAATATCCGAAAGGTTTGACAGTGTTAGAGGTGTCTAATAAGTCATTCGCCATTTTAGCTGAATAAAATATCCATAATCCTAACACAAGAAACGATGCAGACTGCATTGACTGGTTTCTACTCCCGTTCCTTATCCACGATATGAAATATCTGATACAGTGATCAAACATGTAGCATGTGATTTCTTGGCTTGAGCATACCAATACGTTTCCCTGTTTCTTTTTTTCCATCAATTCGGTGATTCCCATGATGACAATATTTTCCGTAAAACAGAGAGCGCCTTCAAAGAAACGTTCAAGAAAGCGCAGATTGATTTTTCCCATCTGTAAATCAAAGAAAACAAAAGTTCTTGAAATTTGTAAAACTGACGATTTAACTCCTGTTTTTGCTTATCTAACGCTATCTCTATCAACTTTCTAAAAAACTCGACCCATTTTCACCTAAGTCCTTCAAATGTTCATTTAATTCGTATTAATTCGTTATTTCGTTATCATCGTCTTTCCGTTCAAGATCAGTTGAAAAGGATAAAAATCAGTACAATCTGAGGGTGTAGCACCGTTTTCAACCGATGGACTTTGAAGGAAAAAAAGCTTATTGAATAAACACCTTAAAGTCCCATCCATTTCGTTATGTCCAGGTAGGATTTAGCCCCTACTCAATTCAGACACACAGTTTCAAGTTGTATTTTTTTGTTAATACTTTTTTTTCCTGAGTACAACAAAATTGATTTAGTTCGTAATTTTCGCAGAGGGACTATCGTTTCCTCTCCGAGTTCTCTTTAGTGCTTGACCTCATGACCAGTAATCTCTTCCAGACCATTGATTCATCTTCCAAACTGAGGAGAGGAGATGAGGGTGGAAGTAGGTTTGGTCTACAACCAGTTCGTCTACCATCCATGATGGTCTAATAGTCATTTAAATATAAATGATAATAATCATCAAATGATTATTAGATCAATTAGATGGTAGACAAAATGGGTATGAGACATTTTTTGCCGGGATGAAGTTGTATCTTGCCCAAATATCACCGTTACCAGTTGTATTGCGAGCTGCGCTATCCATGTTCTAGGGTAGAAAGTGGGGGGGGGGTGGGGGGGGGGTAGCGTTTTTTTTCTGCAGGGAAGGGCAGAATTCCTTTCATTCCTTCGATTCTAGATCTTTAACTTTCTTTCATATCTTTTCATATTTGTTTCCTCTAAGAAAAATTATACCCCACATTCATAGAATTTAAATTTCTAAATTCAAACGATTAAAATGTATTTTTGTGATTGCATCATATAGTGCTGTTTTCAAATTACGTTTGCATACAAATTTGTGAATAATTTGTAGGCTACCTTCTGTTCTGAGTAAAAAAATAAAAATAATTCAGAAGAAAAAAAAGCTTGATTAATGATGAAGCAGCTCATCACGTTCTTAAGGTCACGATACTACGAGACTGTATTATCGTGTCAATATAATCCGTTGTGTCTCAACCACAAGATGATCAATACAATGATGAAAGGTTAACTTAAGGTCAACACTATAGACTGGAAAGGGAGGAGGGGTGGGATCCAAGTGAACCATCACCCATTCCCCCTTCTTCAAAAGCGATTGGTCATGCCATTTTCCTATTGGACGGTAATGACTATCGATTGCACGACGTCGATCTTTTTGTGATCAAAGACGATCTATCGCATAGAGTTACAGGCTGCCGTCTCAAGGGCGAAAGGTAAAAGGTTACTGGAGCTGGATGACTTATTTACGATGTTTAGAGAGGGGACTAGGTGTTTCCTTGAGTCATTCTTTGTTGCCTCCTGATGCGATCGATTAATCAATTTGCAGACAATTGTAGCATCAATCAGGGATATGTCAACTTGTCACGTCGGTTGACTAATTTTTCTCTTCGCGCGCGTTGACTGACACGACTTGAAATAGGTCTTCCCTATGGCTCTCCCTCTTTCTGTCTCTCTTTCTCTCTCTCTCTCTCTCTTCCTCTCCACCACACTTTCTTCTCTTTCCATCTCTGATTTTTGCTCTCTATAGTTCTCTTTTCATTGTTCCATCTCT